TTTGTTTTTTGTTTTTTTTCGCTTTTATTTTGTTTCTTATCGAAAAGCAAACTTTGCTGACATCTCAGATGCATTACCCCTCCCACAGGAAAAAATTACAGATTCCCTTTTTTGGATATTTTAGGGTATTTAAAAAATACCCACAAAAATCCCAAATTTGGAAGAGTGAGACACGTCCCAACCAGGGAACTTGGTTGGGAATTCCCTGGTTGGGACTTGTCTCACTTTGCCAAATTTGGGATTTTTACCCTAAAATATCCAATAATGGGAATCTGTTATTTTTTCCTGTGTCCAATGGCTCCAAAAAATATGCTCTGATCCAGTTCCCATAGTGAAAACCTTGGGTACCTGGAGATAATATTGGTACATATTGATTGTGAAACTGTGAAGGACACAAGTGCTTGGGCACTTTTGTTAAAGAAAAAGTTAATAATTTAATATGCTGCTATGAAATATGAGTGCTTTATCACTTATGCAGGGGTCAGCTTGTCCTTTAGTCAAACATTTCAGCTACTATTGGGAAACACATTGTATTGTTGTTTGCATTTTCATGATTTTATTGCAAGACCACTTGCTTGGGCCCTTTATTGTGTATCATTAAGTGCCTGAGGGCACAAAAAGTTACTTGCCATGCCAGCACAACCATGCAGACAGACTTATTTTCAAGCTTATGGCCTACTAATTAACTATGGGGATTCAGCTAAGAGGCCCTGTTAAGGTAAAATTCCAACAAGCGACATGGCCTTGAAACAGCGACATAAGTCTAGATGAAATGGTGAAAAACGACATAAAGAAGGATTAAATATCGAATAAGGGACGTGGCCTACGTGTGGCCTATTCCTCATAATAATATTAAGCAAAACGACCACATTGTGGGACATGCATACCCCCACCCCCCTTCCCCACAAAAGGGTCTCAGCTACAATAAGAAAGCCGTTTACTTGCATCAGAGACATTCATATCTGAGAAAATTTAAAAAGCCAAAATGGGTCAAAAAACATTGAATGTGCAACATTCTGAATTGTGCCTCTTTAATAAGGAAGCCCAATCAATGATTAAGAACAAGAGAAACTAAAAGATTGTGTAGGTTTTCTGGTAGTTCCTTGGTGTTATGGTTGTGTGTAATCAGCAAATGACATGATAGAAAGGATTAAAAAGATGTTGAACAGTTTAATAGCTCAAACAATGCAAAATATTTAAAATTTTATTGTCAAAAAGTATAGTCTACAAGAAATGGCAAACTTTGGCGATTAGCCTTGAGATCTCAGACTCTAATCTGGAGACCGGGAGACTACGGTCCAAAATCTGGAGTCTCCCAGATTATCTGGGAGTGTTGACAGCCCTGCTACACCTCTCTTCAAAAATACCCTAAAAAAGCCTCTGGAACCACCATCAACTTAGCCTTGGCCCCCTAAATATGTGTTTTTAAGGTACTAATATAATATGACAAAGAAAAGTTTTATTTGTGCTTTATTAAGGTTGACAATTCCAGTGTCTCATGAAAAGCTGTGATTTTTTAAGCACTCACAAAATAAATATAGCATCAGACAATTAATTCATGGAAAATTTATATTAAAATACATGTAAACATATTAAGCTCTAAAACCCGAAAAACAACAACCTTGCTTGTACCCTTGATGTACTTTTTCTGGGTAGCCTTTGCAAGTTTAATTTTTTTAGCACCATCAAGTGGTCATGGCAAAGTATTAAATTATTATTATTAAATTTCTATTTCTTGTGTTTATTTTCATCATAAATAACCTTATCATAAAATATACGTATTCCAGTAATAAAAATCTTCAATTGCAACATTTCACTAAGCCCACAAAGGATCAACTACTCATTTTCAGCGAATACCAATGTACCACCAAAAAGCTACAACTTATCTGTGAGGACTCCAAGTGAATATAATAAAAAAATTCAAACCTTCAAACTACTATTTTTGATAGACAAAATGTTAATAACATGAAAAACAATCTGAAACATTTCAACTACTACTTTCCAAATATTATTCAAATTACTATATGTTATAACTTTCAATGGAGCAAACTGTAAAACATATAACAAAAGTGAAAAAACTAAATACGAGCAAAGTGAAGTCAACTTTACAATTAAATATTATCAAGATTATGCCTGCTCGTCAAAAATGTGCCATTAAAAGACTTCAAGCAGCAATCGTTCACTAGAGATCATAATAAAAAATACCCGTGATAGTTCCCAGCCATGAGATTCCAGGTTTAAATCTTTGCTAAATAACCCTAAGGGTTGATTTCCACTATCGCATAATTCTTACGCACGTCAAACGCAAAATTTACTTTCACAAATAAAATAGAGGCAATTTATGAAAGATCGCACATAAGCATAAAAGTAGAACCTTGCTCAATTTCATGTTTAATCTCAACACTTTTTATTATTCATTCAAAATATTTCCCCAATTCTGATTGGCTAAAAGCACATGCATAATTCACCATAACCATTTAATGATGACCAAATTTGGAAGAATTTTGTCTTTGATGAGGAAATGACGTCAAATTGCAGCCTTCTACAGGTTAATGCACCATTAACCAAAAAGACCTGGGGACCAGATTGAGTTGTTTTCGTTGTAAAAACTAAAATGGCGAACACTTCACTCGTTTCAACAGTAAGAACTACAGCTGGAACTAGGCTAAATAATGGCTAAAAACATAGCAAAAACAACAAGAAGACAACTCAGAGGGCGACATCCGCTATTTGGAGAATATTTGCGGAGCTGGACAAACCTAAACGTAAACTATCGAAGATAAACTTAACATCGATGCAAGTAAGCTTGTTTTAGCTGTGTTTTTAAACTAGGAATTATTTTGAATGAATAATAAAACAATTATTGAATTCGGCTTTCGTATCATATGAAGAATTATGGAGATCTCAGAGGGTATTATCCACCTCGGCGATAACACCCTCCTCGATCTCCATAATTCTTCATAAGATACTTAGCCTCATTCATTAATTGTTAAATATCTTGCCTCTATTTTATTTACATGATAAAAAGTTTACGTGAGTTAATGTACAAGCCAAAAATGCGTCACTGGAAATCAACCTTACATGTAAGTGTCATTTTGTTCCCCTTGCCTAACTTAACACTATTGAAAATAATGCAATGAAAGCTTTTGCAATGTAAATGGAAAATTTCAATTTTAATTACAATGAATTTGGTTAGCCACCCACACAGACATTCTAAGGACTTTTTTGCACAGTCCATTCTCACAAACGTCTGCTTCCGTTTGTGGTTGATGGACCAATCAGAGTCAGTTTTACAACTTTTGGTAAACTTGTGGTTGTTATTAAAGGTACTACACAGGACAAGATCAATGGCATAAAACCTTTAGCAAATATGGATCTGGTCAGTTTGAGGCTACTTTGAAAATAAACTGACAAAGAAAATCCTTCTGAAATATGAATTGACCATAGGCAAGCTCATACATTTAGCAGGGTTCAATCTATGAATTTTACAAGTTAAACAGCAGCCTTTCAAAGTTTCACTCAGTTGTCTCTATGAATCTCTTAAATAAAGTGCGATACCCACTCAAACGTATATCTGGAAACAACAAGCAAAGCTACAGAATTGAGGTAAAAGTTCACACAGGCCTGTTATTTCTTGCAGAAAGTACATTAAAATAAATTTTATTTTCTGCACTTAGTATTGGGCAGAAATTAACTTGATAGGTGTTGATTGCAATTAATATATTGATAGTGGCTGGTAATGGCTGTAAGTGTTACAGTAACTTAAGGTAAGATAGACCCTTATTGAGTGAACAAAAATAACGGTCAAAATGGTACTTTACATTGTGGCCCAACAAAAATTGATTTTGATTATTTTTATTATTATTATATCTTTTTTTTACAAAAAAAAAAAAAAGAAAAATAGGGAATGGGAGTATTTGCTCTGTTAACCACTGGAGACGATTGTGGGGAAGGAACCTGTAACTAAGCCTGAAGAATTTTTGGGTGGGAGGTTAGGAATTTGTTTAGGTTACAAAAAATCTTACAACCATCTTAACTACATTTTTACTTCTTATGGATCTTT